GGTGCCAGCCCTTGTGTCCTGTAGCTGCGGTACCCCCTCAACTTTGGCCAGGTTTCCCTAGAGTAATAGAGGTACAGTTGGACTCCCTACTACCCTGGATGCTCACTTGATATCATCTTGGCTTGGTAAGACATACACTCTGCCATACTTCGCTGTTGAATCCCCTTCACCCCCATACCAACACTGAAGTATGGAGGTAGGATTTTGTGGATTCCAACAGGGTGGTCATATTTAATAAAAACCAAGAAAATAATTAGCATACATGTTTACATATTAAAGACTTATTACAATGTTTCATTCGTGTTAAAAACATGTAGTGCATTATGATTGGTGGCTGATTCTGTAGTTATCAGATTAGTGTAGGTGCAGTCATAATTCTCCTTGTTTTCCCTGGCATGGAGTGGTAGTAAGGGTTCGTGCCGTGCTGCCACCTGTTATGCTGGGAGGCATAGGGAGCAGTGACCATGGAGTTTTCCAGTGATTGGAATGGATGTTGTGTCCAGGTCTTCAGGCATTTAGTTCAGTAATGTTCTGGATCTGCAACAACTGTGTTTGTTGCCTGAGCAAAACCATAATATCCCGGTGCACTTCTTGCTGCAACTTTCAATCTCTTTGCCTCTCATGCAGTAGCCACACTCTCCATTCTTGGTTCTTCACACTACTCTTGGTCATTTGGTCCTTCCAGTCATTGTGCTCACAGTCAGTAGCTGTAGAGAATTGGAGGATCTTGCAGAACATATTCCGCCTTGTTTGCCTGATCCAGGTCAGATATTCAGCCGGCATGGAGGGACCACCTCTCAAGCACACCACGCCGGAGGTTGCTGATTAAAACAGATAGATACATAATTCTCTTTCCCTTTGTTATGTCTGTAAAGCTAAGTCTCAAAACTCCCTTATGTTATTTCCATAAATGCCTTTTAAATAATAAATAATAATAATTCTTTAATAAAAAATGTTAGCTTTGGAGCACCTCATTACAGCACTGCTTTGCAGCTCAAGACAAGGTGAGTATGGACTAGTGGGAGGAGGAAACTGTTGCATGGAAGATTTAGACCAAGGTGGGGAATCTTTTTTTTCCTATCAGGGGCCATTGACCCACAAGAAAAATCAGTCCGGGGCAACACAAAGCCCCGTGCGGGGTGGCGTGCGTGTGAAGGCTCAGGGCTTTCCCCCGCAGCGGGGCAAGCTGGCGCTTGTGCATGCAGCCCCATGGGGAAGGGGGGCAGAGGTTTAGGGCTTCCCCAGGCTCTGGGGTGGGGCCAGAAATGAGGGGTTCAGGGTATGGGAGGGGGGTTGTGGTAGGGGATGGGCTCTGGAGTGGGGCTGTGGATGAGTGTTTCGGGTGAAAGAGGAGGCTCTGTGCAGGAGATGGGGTGCGGACTCCAGCTGGGGGTGTGGGCTCTGGAGTGGGGCTGAGGCAGGGGGTTGGGGTGCAGGAGAGGTTCAGGGTGCAGACTCCGGCCTTGTAGTGCTTACCTCACTGTTCCCGGAAGCAGCCGGCATGTCCAGCGATCAGTCCCTAGGCAGAGGGGCCAGGCGGCTCTGCACTGTGTGCACCGCCCACCCCCGCAGGCACCACTCCTGCAGCTCTCATTGGCCAGTGGGAGCTATAGAGCTGGCGGCGGGAGCAGCACGTGGAGCTTCCCTGATCGTCTCTCCACCTAGAGGCGCAGGGACATGCTGCTGGCAAGCCGGTGCTCACGGCTCCAGCCCCGGAGGTGGGCGCCAAGGCTTGGGGCTTCCAGCCCTCGGCATGGAGACTTGCCACAGGCCAAATGAATTGAAGCAGTGGGCCAGATCTGGCCTGCGGAACATAGGTTCCCGATCCCTGGTTTAGACGCTCAGCAGTCTTGGGCCTGAGTATAGGGAAAGTGAATCTTGCCAATATTTTCACAGGCAGTGGTGATTTTGACTGATATCTCATGCTCTAGGGTGACAAAGGCACAGAGAACCCAGCTGCTGCTGGTGCCTGAGGCCACCTGGGTCTATAGGCTGGTAGCCTGTTTGCTGCAATGGTGCCAGCAGAACTCATCACAGAGTGGATTGGGAATGTCTCCTATTGCAGTAGAAGAAACAAGGCCACCAGCCCTATAAATGTTTCAGAGAGGATTGCAGAGTATCTCCATGAAAGTTTCATCAAGCTTATTCAAGAGGATAAAATGGATGTTCCTGTTCAGATAAACAAAGTACTCGGCATGGGGAGAATTTTGGACCCCTTGCCTAGCCTAACAAGCCACCTTTACCTCCTTTCTTCTAACTCTATCTGAGCACAGGACAGTGATGTGGATTGTGTAATTTAGACTGCCATACTTTTCTGAGTTTATTTTCTAACATTTTACAAGTAAAGTGAATAATGAAAAGTCGGTGCTTTTTTCTCTAAACACGTGAATCTCTTGGGCACCATTTTCAAATAGGGAGAAAGGGGAGGTTGTTGTTGCCCTCCATCGCCTTCTGATATGTCTGCCAGAGTTCCTTGGCTTTCACCCAGCATTGCTGCTCATCCCTGTCCTGCCCTAGGTTTAGCGTCACCTGCACTCCATTGACAGAAGTAGGTTGATTGTGGCTATGCATTGTTTCGGGAGGTGGTGTTATTGCGTCAATGGAACGGGGTGTTTACATTGGTGGGAGACAAATTAAGGTGTGTATGCATGTAAAACTATGCTGAAACAAGTCAACTTAGGTCGACCTAACTTTGTAGCGTACCAGACCACAGAGTAGGGATGGCAGCAGAACAGGGAGAAATTAGGTGACTCCAAATATGTGGAGGCCAGCAGGACGTGGTATGAGACCCCTTAGATGACAGCACGTAACAACTAGCTCAATGGCCTGAGCATGTCAGCGTTTTTTCTGGTTGTTTCAGTAACTAAAAAGGACTCTTGGAAAATCTGTCTTGTTTTTCTTAAACAACTGAAAGCCTGACACTGATGCTTTTTCTACCATAACTATTCTAAATAACAGTTGAAATTGTCAAGAGGAGATAAGTTCCTTGGGATAGTTCCTGAGTTCTGGCTTTGCACTGCCTCAGGAGCCAGATGTAGCCAGAAAGTGATCTTAAAGAGGCAGTGTAGGATTTTCTCTCCATCAACATAGGGGTAGTGCCAGAGCACATGGCATGCTGCCTGGTCCTTGGCTGGCACAGAAATCTTATAGGGACTGCTGCAGCAGGTATAACTTTAAAGAAGTCATTACATTGCTCTAAGTTATGCTGGTAGCTGTTATGACCCCTAGCCAGCTCTGCACCAGGAAAATGGAAAGGTGACTTGGAACCAACTTTCCTTCCTTTCCTCAGCTATGGCAAATATAAGCTTGGCACATCAGAGGATTTGGCCCCCATCCTTCATGCAGCTGAAATATTAAAATGTACCAAACTCCAATTTTAAAAGAAAAGCTATATATTTTTCGAAATGTGAATATTGTGGACCAGATTGTCTCCGAGAGCTGATTTAGGTTCAAATCCTGCAGCTGCAGCGCATGTGGTGAAGACGCTCTATGTTGACAGGAGAGAGCTCTCCTGTCAGCATAAAAATATCACCTCTGTGAGTGGCATAAGCTATGTCAGCTGGAGAAACTCTCCTTCTCTCAGAGCACTGTGCATACGAACGCTTATGTTGGTGTGACTTACGTCGTTCAGGGGGGAGGAATATTCACACCCCTGAGCGACATAAGTTTTGCCAACATAGGCTGCAGTGTAGACATAGTCTTAGTCTCAGTCATAAATGTGAGAGATGTCAAGAAACAAGAAAGCTCAACAAGAAAATGTGAGCTTAGTCAAGTCTGAAAACATAAATGCAGTTGTGCTATAATTTATTTCCCATCTCAATTTGTAATTAGCTTCCATTTTATGCTGGTTCTTGCCTACTCCAGGCTCACTGGCCAGTCACACATCTGAAGACTTTTTCTGAGCCCTCATAATCTTATAGTGTGCATCAGAAGGCTCCATAGTTGTGGTAGGGTTTTAGCACTAGTGAAAGGGGGCAGGAGGTTGACATGAATTAGGCAAATAAACATGGCAGGGATTGGCAAATAGACTAAGTTGCAGCATAAGAACCTGAATAGAAGAGGAAAGGAAAAAGCACAAATAAGCACGGATTTGCCCTTTAGACTGCTATTTTTGAGGCATTGACCTCACAATGTATGTAAAGCACCTAAACACGCTTCTGGCTGTTTACGTAATTTACAAATATCTGTTCATAAAGAGAAAGGGAGACCAAGCAGCTGAGCTGGGCATGCTGCAGGTAGCTGGGTGGGGGCAACAGGTTTCTTCAGACCATTTGGCTTTTATTTGAGATTTGAAAAATTTGAGCTAAAGCCTAATACCGGAATTCCTATTTAATGAAGAACTTCACTACTCACATATTTTCAGTAAAATTGAATGTACTTTCAGATTAGGCAACCTTTCTAGATCCAGTAGCTTCAGGCACAGTTCTGTGCAGCAATAATTCCCTTAAATTGTTTATAAAAGTATTTTGCATACGTACACATTCACTGATCTTTCTCCCTCCTTGGAGTTGATTTTTTTTTTAAGTTAATAAAACTGTAAAATGTGCAAAAGATATAAGATTGATAGGTTTATGTTCGGAAGTGCTATCTGTATTCCTCAAGGACATGAATACACTATTTACCTGAGCAGTTCTTAACTTTGCAATCTACTCTAGCCAGCTCCCAGATTGCATGCAGAGGAGGGACAAAAGCCATCAATGTGATGTTATGCATAATGCAGCTATAGCCACCAGAGGCAAATCTTACGATTTGAAAAAAGCAGCAAGTTGAGGGAAGGAAGGAAAAAAAATATTTCATAATCTTGTCTGATAGCTAACTGCTTGATATTCATAGGAGGCAATAATAAATTACATGTATATAAGCTGCCAGAAAGAAAAAAAATTATTAGTATTTTTTGGTTCTGAATACAAGGGTGTATTTAATTTGCTCTAAATAGATGTTTTATTGTCTGTACATCAGGTTTGATTATCCTAATAAAACTATTTTCTTGTCTATTACAGCCGTTACAGACCATTTTATCTACAATTATCCAGCTTTCCTGTTCTCAACTATTCTGCTCCAAAACCTTATAGTCCATTTGATATAGATAAGAAGAATGCTAGTGGCCAAAAGCAAACTCAGTCTAAACAAAGGTTTGTTGAGAAAAAATATGGAAATTCCTTCTTCAGTCTCTAAGAAATTGATCCTTTTATTATTAGTTTACATGGGGCTCTATACCAATACCAGTGTCTCATTTGTTGAATCTACTGGTAATTTTGTCAGTTTTTCTCTCTCCCTCCTTTGTCCTTTTTTGGACGTACAGATGCAGGCATCATAAACATATTGCTGTGGGTCAGTGCAGGCTATGACACTTCTTCTTTCCACTGCTGATACCTTGCCTCTAAGTACAGCAAGAAATGAATTATCTTGGCTCCGGAGCTGGTCATTTTAACTTGTCACTTGCCAATAAAGAGCTAAAGGTTAACTAAATTTGTTTAAAACTATCATCCTAAGTCATGACGCCCAAACTATGTGATTTTGAAGAATGCACTTAATTTACATGTAGACTTAATTTTCTCTAAATAAAACAAAATGTTCCATACCCTAATATTGCTTATACTTGTATCTTCCTTGAGAGGTGAACAGTGAATACTTCCTGTATGAGTATACAGGCAATAAGAATATGCAGTTGATCAGCTTTGTTCTTACCCTGCACTTAAATGGTCACATGCTGTATTTGGCACTCAGGCTGCATGTTGAGTGCTGCAGTTCAAAGTTATGCTTTTTGGCAAATTACATAGGTGATTTTTATCTAATTAAGTGTCTAATGGGGTGCTTTCTGAAGTATCAGGCTCTGATTCTGACCCTGAACTCCTTCCAACCAGTCATTTACTCTGCTGGAACTATTTTATGGCATTGACTTCTAAAATTGATGTTATAGCATTCACTGTAGTGAATTCTAGAGATAGTGGGCTGAGATGATAACTTCATTCTAAAATTCTCTTTTCTGTTTCTCATAACTTTCTCACTTTGTCCTTTTGGGTTGAAATTTAAATAGTGCACGTATCACTACCTGCTCTAAAATTAAGAGCACAGTCAAAAATCATCTAAATTGACAGTTATATTTATTATCTTAATACAAAATAGCTTCTGCATTGCCCCAGTCCTTTTTCACAACTCTTGATTGTACACTGCTAGTGGTTCTCTCTGTTGATGCTGCCATGGTCAATCTCCTGGTTCCCATCTGCTTTGATTGCAGTGCATATGGCTTTGTGAAAAGTGAGACAAATGCAACACAGCAGAAACATTAGGAGCACTACCAGTAATCCCTACAATGCCCTGATCACCAAAGTTAGCACTAAGAATATAGAGGTGAGATGGTTGGAAGGCACCCTCCTGGACTTTAATACAGGGGTAGGCAACCTATGGCACGTGCGCCAAAGGCGGCACGTGAGCTGATTTTCAGTGTCACTCACACTGCCTGGGTCCTGGCCACCAGTCCGGGGGGCTCTGTATTTTAATTTAATTTTAAGTGAAGCTTCTTAAACATTTTAAAAACCTTATTTACTTTACATACAACAATAGTTTAGTTATATACTATAGACTTATAGAAAGAGACCTTCTAAAAACGTTAAAATGTATTACTGGCATGCAAAACCTTAAATTAGAGCAAATAAATGAAGACTCGACACACCACTTCTGAAAGGTTGCCGACCCCTAACTTAATATTTCTCCTTTTAAAAAAGGGAGAGAGAGTAGTATGCTTTTTTTTTTTTTTTGGGTCAGGAACTAGGGTGGGCAAGGATAGTTATAAACCTCTGGAATTATGCTCTTCTGCTTAATTATGACTTAGTCTACACTAGGAACTTATGTCCGTATAACTACGTTGCTCAGAGGTGTGGAAAATCCACACCCCTGAGCAGTGTAGTTATACCAACCTAACCCCTGGTGTAGACAGCGCTATGTCGACGTAGCTACTGCCTGCTGGGGAGGTGGAGTACCTATGCCAATGGGAGAAGCTCTCCCCGGATGTAAGTAATGTCTTCACTAAGTGCTACAGCGACACAGCTGTAGCGCTATAAGTGTAGATAAGCCCTTAATCTATCTATTTGGTCCTTGTCCCATCTGAGTTCCTAACTTATAATTAGAAATAATGATCTCTCTCCCTTCCCAGCCTGAAGGAGAAATAGTTTGATGGGTTGGGTGTTTGTTATTAAATCTGAAAGAGAAGAATTTGTTGCAGGAAAGTTGTCAGAAACACTTAGTTCTGAATGCAGTAAGGCCTGTGGTCATTCTTCTTTTTTCAAATATTGAGTTCCACAGTCTTGTTCCTGGTCATATGAAAGTTCTGTTTACCATGCTCACAAACTTTTTCCCCAGTTGTTCGACAATTCCATGCTTCCAGTGGAACAGATATATGGTAAAAAAAAAAAATGATTTTAGAGAAAATACCTCGAGTAGCTAGATCCAGTCCTGTGGAATTTGAACATCGGGAAGAGACATTGAATTGCACTTTGTATTCAGTGGAGAACCAATGCAGAAAGTAGAGTTCTGAGGTTATATACTCAAGGCAACCTGTTGTGCTAAGCAGACGTATTGCTACGTTTTGTACCAGTAGAAGCTTTTTCAGGGCATGTGGCTTTATTCTTTCATATAATGAATTTCAGTAATCAAGCCTAGAGGTCACATGTGTGGATTACTGTGGCCAAGTCTGAGTCAATAGGAAGATGCTGATTTTGGCTAGATGGGGAGATGGTACTGCTCATTTGATAAAAAGAAGACAGGACTGGTCTTACCATGAGGCGAACTGAGGTGGCTGCCTCAGGTGCCAGGCTGGGGGGAGGTGCCACTAGGATCCAGAATGTAGAAAATTGTGTCTGCTGCTGGTGCATATGTATTCTCTCTGCTCTAGATGCACAGAGATGGTGGAGTGCTGTGCTGGAGAAAGGAGGGCACAAGAGACATAACAGGGAGGCAGGAGAAAAGGTGAGAGGGAATAACAGAAAGTAGAAAGAGCTGCAGGGAGGGAGAGGAAGAGGTACTCTTATGAACCTCTCTAGCACCCCCATGAGCCTGGATTGATTTAACACCAGCTTCTCAGGAAGCTTCCTGTTTCCTGCTGCTTCCCTGAACCCACTTGAGGAGAACAGGCAGTCAACTGAAGTAGTAGGAGCCAGTTAGGCCCTCAAGATGCTGATAACTTCCCTCACTCAGGACCTGCTATCAGCCTGCTTATTTGTCCTCTTCAATTGAGTGTTGAGTGCCACTATAGCTGGCACAGAACAGCAATCATGAGTGAAAGAAGAAAACGCCCCTCTGGGGCAGCATTCAGAAAAAGAAAAGGAAGCTTTTCTATCTAAGCAGGAAGGAGCTCTCCTGAGATACATAGACACAAATGTTCATAGTGAGCCTTCCAGCCCCAGTGAGGATGTGAGTGGTGAGGAGATGCTTGATCTTCCAGTTAGTCAGAGTGCAGGTGACTTGGCAGCTACTGCAGCATCCATATCTCCATCTCAAATGGATGTAACCATGCACATTCCTGAAGAAAAGTGTAGATCACAAAAGAGTGTGGTGGAGGCGCAAGAAACAGCTGCTGCTGAGTTTAGTTCCTTAAGTTTAGATGATCCAGGACTGTGGACTCACTTGAGCAGTAGCCTGAGGGACTTCCTTGTGCTGCATGGGCCACAGCAAGTGAAAAACTTCATGTCCTCCAACAGACAATGAAAATAGAAGTTTCCACCCAACACATTACTGGCATGAAATCCCCAATGGTGACAAAGTGGAGAGGCCATGGCTTATGTACTCAAAAACTCAGAATGCTACATACTGTTTTTATTGCAAACTCTTCCACTCTAAGCTTCCAGCCACATTGGGTTCTAAAGGAACAAAGGACTGGAAAAATCTGGCTAGAAATCTGGCATGCCATGAGAAGGCAGCAAATCACCAGAGAGCATTCCATAGGTGGAAAGAACTTGAGATGAGACTAAGGTTAAAGGCCATCATAGATGATCAGCATCAAGAGAAGATTGCATCAGAGTCTCTTTACTGGCAAAATGTTCTGAAAAGGCTCGTTGCCATTGTGAGAGTGCTTGCTACCCGAAACCTAGTACTGTGTGGCACTTCAGATCAGCTGTATGTGCCAAACAATGGAAACTGCTTTAAAATTGTGGAGCTGATGGCTGAGTTTGATGCTGTACTCCAGGAGCATCTAAGAAGAGTCACCACCCAAGAAATGTACACACACCACTACCTTGGAAAAACAATTCAAAATGAGATCATACAGTTACTGGCAACAAAAGTCAAACAGAAGATTGTGGCAGATCTGAAATCAGCAAGATATTACTCTGTTATTCTGGACTGCACACTTGGCATCAGCCATACGGAACAAATTACTTTAATGGTGCGTATTGTAACAACAATGGAACCTAGTGAAAATGTCCCTGCAATGGTGACTATCAGAGAGCATTTTCTAGAATTTATTGATGTTGATGATACTACAGGAGCTGGTATGACAAATGTGCTTCTTAAAAAGCTGGAAGATACGGGAATTGCAATAGCTGACGTGAGGTCAGGGCTACGATAATGGTGCCAACATGAGAGGAAAGAGCAGAGGAGTGCAGACACGGATCCGAGAGTTAAACCCTCGATCTTTTTTTGTCCCATGCAGTTCTCATTCATTGAACTTGATCATCAGTGATTCAGCATCAGCTTCTAGTGAGACTGCTGAATTTTTTAATGTAATTCAAAGCATCTATGTATTTTTCTCTGCATCAACTCATAGATGGCAAATTTTGAAGCAACGTCTGGGAACATCCTCTCTGACACTGAAACCACTGAGTGCCACACTATGGGAAAGTCGAGTGGAGGCGATAAAGCCTATCAAACACCAAATTGGGAAGATAGATGATGCCATTATGGAGGATAATGCTATGACAGGAACTGTTCATGAAAGAACAGTGGCAGGAGTTAATGGAATCACCAAAAACATACATAACTTCAAATTTCTGTGTGGCTTAGTGTTGTGGCATGACATACTGTTTGAAATAAACGTTGTAAGCAAGAGACTCCAAGGTGTTGACCCTGATATATCTGGAGCAATGAAACAACTGGACAAAGCAAAGTCATGTGTACAGTCTTACCAGTCAGATGAGAGATTTCAAAATGTTCTGAAGTGTGACCGGAATTTGGCAGAGGAACTTCACACTGAAGCTATTTTCCCACCCATTCAAGTCACCGAAGAAGACGACATTTTAATTACAAGGCACGGGATAATCCCATAAGAGACCCCAAACAACAATTCAAAGTTGAATTCTTTAATCAGATGCTAGATGGTGCAATACAGTCAACTGAAGAACGTTTCATGCAGCTCAAGGAACACAGCAGTATATTTGGGATGTATGATATTCCCAAACTCCTCACTATACCTGAAGAAGACCTACACCAGCAATGCAGGGCACTAGAGACAGCACTGACACATGATGACATGCGTGATATTGATGCAAGTGATTTAGGCGATGAACTGAAAGCCCTTTCAAGATACATTTCAGCAGGATCAACTCCAAAGGCTGTTCTGGAATATATGTGCACAAATAAGATGACCACCCTCTTTCCAAATGCTTTTGTTGCTCTGCGCATACTGCTAACACTTCCTGAAACAGTTGTCAGTAGAGAATGCAGCTTCTCCAAGCTGAAGTTAATAAAAACACATCTACGCTCCACAATGACACAGGAGAGACTGGCTGGCCTTGCAACCATCTCATTAGAGTATGAGCTGGCCTAGACTGTGGACCTTCAGGAAGCAGTTCAAATCTTTGCAACCAAGAAGGCACGGAAAGCACCACTTTGATTATTCAAACAGATGATAATGCCAGTGTTTGTTGTGCAGACAAGAAAAGTTACATTTGCTGTTCAGGCATTTGAAAGTTAAGTGTTACTTAAAATTTTTGAACAAGGCATTTTAAGTTGTTAGTTCTCCTTTATTGGGGTAGGTAGCAGAGCAGTACCATGAGAGGAGTAGAGCAGGAAGAAGGCAGAATTGAGACCTTTCAAACTTTTGGCCCAAGTGAGGGGACATGGAGGGCGTCATTTGAGCTCCCCACCTCAGGTGCCAAAATGTTGTGGGCTGGCCCTGAAAGAAGATGTGGGGCTGGGTGCCATTGGCGTACTGCTAGTACGGCATTCTTGTCACATCTGCTTCCCAACATGTCCATGTAGCTATTGAAGAATGTGGAGTAGAGAACTGTGCCTTGTAGGACTCCACAGGTGAGGGCTCTGGAAGTAGAGGAACAGTTGCTGAAAACAACCCTCTGGGGTTTAATATGAGAAGGATCAGGGGCATTTTACACCTTCAGCCATTAATACCTAACTCATATAGCACTCTTCATCAATAGATTTCAAAATGCTTTACAAAAGGAGGTAACTATCATTGTCCCCACTTTACAGATGGGGGAACTGAGGCATAGGGAAGCAAAGGGACTTGTCCAAGGTCACCCAGCAGGCCATTGCCAGAGCCTGGAAGAGAAGCCAGGTTTCCTGAGTCCTAATCCAGTATTCTGTCCTCTGAAATGAATCTTTGTTCACTCTGATTTGATTGATCTAAAATGTTTGATTCTCTTAACATTTTTACCATTTTGTAGTTAGCAAGTTTAAAGGCCCAACTTCATATGGACAGATAACTGACTCTTTACATACAACTTTTGTGCTAACAGAAACAAAACAAATAGTGACCAAGACTGTGGTGGTCCAGTTCAACTTCCTCTAAAGGATAAGAAAAAGAAAGGGTATTGTGAATGTTGTATGAGGAAATATGAAGATCTGCAAACTGTAAGTGTAACACAGATTGTACGCTCAACCCAGTCTGTTATACGGTGCTTAGAAATGTGGCATCAACAAATATTTTTCTGCTTAATGGATATTAATTGACTTAATGATATACTCAAAAGTTCTTTTGTTTAAAAAACAAAAACAGAAATCTTCTCTTGAGTGGAATTTAGTGCTAGCTTGCTGACTACATGAAGGGCCGCTAAGGTTACTTATAGTTACATCTCAGAAACATGGTCAATAAGAGTTTAGCAACCATTGCTCTTTTGAATTGCCCATTTATGCACATTGAGTATTTGAAACAACTTTATTTTATTTTAGCCATTATGGGAGTGAATGAATGCCTTTGCACCAAATGTTAGTATATTAATATCTAGACTGACCTTCAAAATTAATTGTAAAAAAAGTATCAGATACTTTTTTGAAAGTTGCTATTCTGTATAATTAACTTTTGCTGCTCTCGAATAGCAGTCAAAGGACCCAAATCCATATGACCATGTATTTTCATCTTGCTCCTCCTGTAATGCTAAACTCTGTTTGCATGTGCTGTATACATTATTAATATTAGAGTATTTTCCTATAGCGGTATACTTCTTGTTTCAGAAAGAAGCTACTCTTTTATTTTTTAGTGGAGGCATTTTATTTGTATACGGATGTCTGCAGTACAGGATGTCTCACGATTTATTTTTTTTTTTTAATTTCAGCATCTTGAAAGTGAACCACACCAAAACTTTGCACAGAGCACCCAATATCAAGTTGTGGATGATATAATATCCAAGTTTGTTTATGACTTTGTAGACTACAGAGATGATACACAAAAAATGAAAAGGTAATTCACATTTACTAACTTTAAAAATCACCATAAATGAGTTAGCCAGTCAGAGATATCAAGATGATGTAGCTTCGGGAGTATAAATCTGGTAAAGATCTAATTAATAGTTTTCAGTTTTAGATAGGTTTCAGGGTAGCAGCCATGTTAGTCTGTATCTGCAAAAAGAACAGGAGTGCTTGTGGCACCTTAGAGACTAACAAATTTATTAGAGCATTCCCTGAAACTTATTGCTGTTACACATAAGAGACCTGGTTTTAAAAGAAAAAGTAAGTCTGGTCTACTTCATCTGTCTTATTTCACGGGGTATATTTGCCAAGTATTCTAGAAAAAAAGAGAACTGTTACAGTGGTACATGTTAATAGATTATAATTAAGGTTTGTTAACAGTTTATCCATCATATTTATTTATTTTATTTAGATTTATAATTATACAAAAAAGGCACCTACCTGTTACTCTATTTCCTTTGGCAGATATGTAGAAAAATACAACTAAAATCAGCAGCTAACCTATAATAACACCAAGAAAGCTCAGCACTCAAATCAGAATCCTCTTCTCTCCATTCCCAGCCCCCCATCACCAAAATCACCCCCATCACAACCTCCCTTTGCCAAAGTCTGAGTGAAAAGACAGGATGTACAGTGTGTATTGAACCAAGAATTGGAATAGGTTCCATATCTGAGAATCTTTCAGAGAATGTTCGTCCGTGAATACACACACTTAAAAGGACTCCAGCTCAAATCCCTTCACTGATTGCAACTGTGGCAATAATAGAGATTGCTCTGTTGTGTTCCCTCAAGGATTCAGGAGATGTGCAAACCCTCTTGTCTTTTTTCTGTCTTTCCTAAAAGTATAATAGAGAAGAATGACATGGGGACATCAGATTTTCCCAGTTGAAGTCAATGGCAAAAGTCTCATTGACTTCAACAAGAGCAGGATCAATCCATTAGTGTCTCCCCGTCTCCTGTTCCTTTTGTGGTTTGGAAATGCTTATTAAGGGTGAAAAGCTAAATCTGATGAAACTGAAAAATTATACAATATTTAAGTGCTTTGAGCGTGTTGTCATTTTACATCACATTTTTTAACATGGTCATTGTTTTTAAATGCCGATTACCATGTGTGAATTTGGTTTTGTTTAAACGCAAAGCCATTTTCTTTGAATATTTTAAAAATGATTTAAGAATCTGCAGAAATCATTCTTAATATTGAAGTTTGTATATGGTACATTCTGATCTTGTGGTAATATAAGCATTTACGAGAGGAAATAAGTTTGTTATAAGAATAAAGACAGTTTTGACAATCTTAATACTCGTTTCGATACATTTAACAGATTAAGTTTTGTTAAAGTAATCTGATATCTTTTGTTTCCTTCAAATATTTCTTTTGGATTCTAATGTTGTAAACTGTTTAATTTTAGGACAAAATGTATTATGGGATACTTTTCTCCTGTTATTGGAAACATAACTAAAACGGATGAGCTGAAAGAACAACTAAAAAGACAACACATTTCATTCAAGTGTTATTCTTGGAAAGATTCTAAAGTGCAGGAACTAAAACAGGACCATCAACACACAAAAGTATCCCAGAGTTTGGTACAAAAACTTAACTCCATTTCTGAACCTGTATGTTCTATTCTTCCTTGTCATCCATCATTTCCTTCCAAAGTAGTAAGTAAATTCAAAAGTAATGCTGAAAATGGTAAAATAGAAGATTCCTGTGCTTTAAATCTAAAAGAGACTGGTTTATCACCAAACTTCATACAGCTACCTCCCCAGAAAGACAACAAAACATACCTTGAGAACTTATCTGAATTTTATGGGCATTCTAGTAATGAAGTATTTGAACCTGAAGTAACTTTAAATAGAAAGAATTTGCAAGGAGTGCAAACAAAGTTATATACTCATGGTCTAGTCACTGATAGTAGTGAAAAAGACAAAAATACCTCACAGCCAAAACGAAAATTAAATAATCCATTTGTTCTACCAGCAAAATATTTGAAGAAAACAGATGCCAATTCAGCATTTACCAAAAAACAGTTAGATTTTGGTGTGGATAATGATCCACAGAGAGAGCATCATATAGTTCTGAAGACTGAGACGCTATCACATTGTCTTTCTACAAGCAAAGCAACTAGTGAATGTGCTATCGATAGTGGACCCAGCTCACCTTCTAGAAAGCTGCACAGAAAAGTAAAACTTTCCTCAGGAAAAAATAAAAGAGGAAACCGGAGACAGAATATGGAGTTATGTGTAAAGCAAACTGATGATTTATCTGTTACTGAAGAAAAGAAAAATGCATGTTGCTCCCCAATGCAGACTCTGGTGGAATTATTTCAGACAAGTGAAGTAAATTCAGATTTTGGGGGTTTTACAAGTTATCCTGAGAAAAAAGATTCAAGTTGCCTGAAAGATATTTGGGAAGGACAAAATGCAAATTCTCTGTGGTCATTATTTTCTTCTTCCTCTTCAACCCCATTTATCGGATTTTAATGCTGCTTTATTTAAAACAATGACTTCTGAATAAATTTGCAAACTGATGAGGATTTTATTCATGGAAATGAATTCTTGTATTGTAAATTATGTGTTCAAGTTTTGGTATATCAAATATACATGCAAAAACATGTGTAAATCTGAAGAATAAAGATAATCCTGGTGTGCTTTTCTTTAAAAAAACCACTTTTTATCACAGCTGATAAATAGGTTATGGCCTAAAATACAATGTGTTTAACTCCAGCTTCTAGCCAAGATATATATACATCATGTAGCTTATTGTGAATTTCAGACAATAAAAAAACCAATTTATTTGTGTGTATATACACACAGTATATTTTATTTTTAACAAAGTAGTTGGTTTCTGATTGACTGAAGTTCTTGTTAAGTTGGAGTTGGTTTTTCTCTCCTCAGTAAATAGTCATCCATCAGTCTTACTAGCTGGCATAGATTAGAAGGAGTATGGTTCTAGGGTTGAAGTACAGAATTGGCAGTCAGAAGGTCTGTTTTTAATTCTTGACTCCGCTACGGACTTTGACCTTGCACAAGCTCTGTCTGTTTTTATATCTATAAAATGGATATAATGCAGCAGTGCTTATTTACAGCTTCAACAGGGATTATTGCAAGGATTAATTAATTAATATGTCTGCCTCTTGAGCCTTCATGCATGTGCCTATGCTATGTTTTTCTTAGCCTTTTAGCTTGCCATCATTTAAGATTCCGGGAATGGAACTGTAAAGAGAAATTTACTTCGACACATATATTTGTTTTATTCCTATTGTGGTACATGTTTTACTTCAGTCTTCACTAAAAATGTTAACAGTGACCAGATACCCAACACAATTAATATAAACAACAACTGGGAAGAAATGCAAGCCAAAATAGGGAAGAAACAGGTTAAAGAATATTTAAATAAGTTGGATATATTTAAGGCAGCAGGGCCTCATGAAATTTATCCCAGATATGTAAGTACTAGTTAAAGCAATCACAGAATCTTTAGCAATTATCTTCGAGAACTCATGGGGGACAGGTGTGGTCCCAGAGGACTGGAGAAGGGCAAACATAGTACTTATCATTAAAAAGGGGAACAAAGAGGACCAGGAAATTCAGCCTAACTTCTATATCCGAAAAGATACTGGAACAAATTATTCTTTTTCTGTGGTGTCCCTATGCATGCTCCGCTTCACGTATGCATGCGTTTCTTGAGCCTTTGATCAGATATTTTCCATTAGCAGTTTCTGTTCGGCCTGCACACATGCTCTACACAACTTCATCCCTTGCTCTGAGGGTATACAGGGCTGTACAGGCGAACCAGTCTCCGTTCCTTCTCTTCTGCCTTGGCCTGAGACAGACCTCTAGCATGTCTGCCTCATGCCTGCCTCAGCATGTTTTGTAATTGTTTATTAGTTAGTATAGTGCTGTGTTGTTTGGTGTTAGTATAGAATTAGATAGTTGTCAGAGATTTCAGTTTTTTTTCTTCCCCATTTTTCTGGGGAGCTTATTTGGCCTTCTGATGGGGTGGACTAGGCCATGAGGCTACTGCTGGGGGCCTCAAGGCCCTGCCTCACTCTGCCCCAGAAAAGGGCAGTAGAGAGGTCCTCCAACCTGCCTAAAGCGACTGTGTGTGGGAAGCAGCCAATCAGGGCCCAGCGGGGCAGTATAAAAAGAGTTGCAGAGCCAGAGCGATTGCAGTTCCTTGCAAGAGCTGGAGGAGAGTGGATGGTGCTCCAGGCTAGCTGCTGGGACTCCACAAGGACAAGACCCTGAAGTAAGGGTGAAGAATGTGCGGGAGCCACGAGGAAGTGGCCCAGGGAATTAGAGCAGCAGCGCAACTTAGCAGCTGTCACTGTATCTCTTTATCTATCTACAGGGTCCCTGGTCTGGGAGTAGTGGGCGGGCCTGGATCCTCCCCAATCCCCAATTAGTCACTAGGGGAAGCGTCCTGGACTTTGAGGCACCCCAGAAGGGGGACTGAACTGTAGTGGCCCAACTGAAGAGCTGGGCCTGAGAGGGCGAAGACATTGCCTCCAGGGAAGGAGCCCTGGGGCATTCCTCTATTCCAGAGCAGGGACATACTGAGAGAGGCCCCTGTTGGAGTTGTACCCCGGAAGGAGTTTGCTTTGCTTTTAACAGAAACAGTGTGTGACTTGGCCAGAGGGCTGAGTCAGCGAAGACTACCACAGACAGGTAGAGAGAGAGTGCAGGTACACGCACTCGGCCAGAGGGTGCTCATGAGAGGTGAGTGTGACCCAATTACACTGATACCAGAAGTGGGGATTGTTCGGACTGTCCCCTGCAAGCAAGGGGACCGTGGAAGAGCTATTATCAGCTCTAGGCCAGCGGAACGTGCAAAACCCCAGAAAGCTGCCCAGCAACAACACGGAAAAACCCTGGAGCAGCTTCAACAGCAACTCCAGGATCACCAGTCTCTTGGTTGGCAGGGAACTTGGCATCCACGACAGCGTCCACCCAGATGCCTCAAAGGAAAGAGTCAGCAGACCCCACCATAGAGCGGCAGGTACTATAGGCAAGTGGGGCAGGCGAGATGGGTTTACCCTGAGACAAGCCATGGTTGTAAGGCCAGACCTGGTTGCCTTGAGCGCCACCAAGACCAGTGATGGCCAGGCTGACCAAGACACCTGGCCCGAATTGTTGAGGCCCAGCCTATAGTAAAGGCGGAACAGAAGACTGTTGGGACTCAGTTTAGGGCTTGGAAGGCTGCCCTAGGAACAATTTGTTTCCATTGCAGGGAAATGGGCCACATGAGAAGGTATTGCCCTGAAAAAAACTCACTCGTGAAGGCAGTACTGGTATTATCATAGACCCAGGCCTCACCCTAATTGGCAAACCTGGGTTAGACAAGAAAGCAGAACTGGGGCCCATATGATAGAAATGGGAAAGCAGTTTTGGGGCTTGAACAACCCATTTCCTGAAGGCAAGACTCAGCCTCCGGTCTCTGTCCTAAAGGAAGAGAACATGGGCAATATACCTAATGTGTCACAGGAACTGTGGCAGAGCTCCAGCAGGGGTCCTCAGGGCCTAGTCCACCCCGTCGCACACCTTCTCCCCTCCCCTCCCCCCCTACCCCCCCAAGATTGAGGTCGTTTCAAGCAGTGAAAGAGATGTCCAAGCAGCTGGGACAGACCAAGCAAGACATAGCTGACCTTGAGAAGGCGAAGCTGTTGCTGGTGGCTGAATGCAAAGAGTTGGCCAAGGAAAGAAAAATATGTCCGCCTAGGGAGAGAAACACTGGGTACGCAAGAGACGATGGGCAGGAACCCTGTGCAGGAGATGAGCTGAACCTAAACCTGGAGAAAGAAGTGTCCAATATAAAAGACAGAAGGAGTTGGAGCATCTGCTTGTTTTGGAGATGGAATGCTCTGCCTACCATCAAGACCAGTGGGCCTGTACAGAAATAGAGGTGCAGGAGAGAGAGATCCTCTCATTGAGCAGAATGCTGAAGGACAGCCGGCAACAGAAGCTGGATCTAGAAAAAGCATGGCAGGCCTCAGGGGAGCAGCCTACCACACTGAGAAAGTTGCTAGAGATTAAGACCAGAGAAGTGATCCACACCTCTGTAGGTGTGGAGGTCTGAAGCACTGAGGCAGGTCTGGAAACCCATGATAAGATGGTGAGCACAGAAAGGGAGTACTAAGAGGCTTGTGTGGATACCAGTGGGTTGGCTGATGGGCTAGACATCCAGAAAGACCTGAAAGGATCGGGCAGCAGTCTAATAAAGAAGTGGATGTCCTGTGGCAGAAACACTAAGATCCCATGCACAACAGAGGCTGCAATAATGGCAGTAGCCCACTCAGCTACACAGCAGACCTCTACTGTAAGGGGCTGGGGTGAGCTAGAAGAGAAGGTTGCTACTGCTGATCGGAAGTAGGCTGAAATCCTGAAACTACGGACACAGGTTGCCCAATACTGGCAGCAGCTGGAAGAGATCTGCTCTTCACGGGACAGGATTGTGCAACAAACAGTAAAACAGGAGCAAGAGCTGACCCGCCTCAGAGTGGAGAAAGAGAAGGGGGGACAGCAGTGCTTTCTGCTGCAAAAGGTCCTGCTCAAGCTCCAGAACCTGCTCAAGGTTCAGCCAGGATCAAAGTCCAACTTGGCTGAGGAGAATGAGCTGAAGTTGTGTGGATCGGGGCCACTACAGAAGGACGATGACTTGGACAAGGACATACATCTGCCTGCTCTGGCTCTAAAACTCCGGAATTTTGATGTGGCAGCAGAGCAAGGCCAGAACAGGACCTCTGCTAAAAAGAAGAGCTCTTCCCAGAGCAAAAAGGAAGCTAAAAATGGTCCTAACCTGCTAAATGTTTTACACACAATAGTGTGGGTACAGAAAGAACAAAAGTGGGTATTGCTTGGTTATGTATTTAAAGAAGTGGGCAGAACAATACAGTGTCTGGTCTTTGGAAACCTGGAAGGGATCTGAACTCAGATAGAGAGATCCATAATTCTGAAGGCTGTACATGCAGATGCATCCAGAAGGACTTCTCTCCAGATCAGGCGGCCGAGGTAAAAGAATTTATTTCTGGGGAAATCCCAGCTTTGTTAACCAGCCTAGAGGCAGTAAAAGGCTTTGGTGATCTGAACGTCGCTGTAGGGAGCCATGGTGGCTCCCCTCCGAACCAGAGGGTAAAGAGCCACCCTCTCAGCCTGAGTGGGCGGGGCCAGACCAAGCTTACGCCAATCCCCGGAAGGGGAGGGGTGGGACAGGAAGTACAAAGGGCGGGGCCCTTTGCCCAGTGAGGAGAGCACCAGGGAGGAGGACAGACACAGGCTGCTGGCTGCTCCCTCGCGATCCTGCTGCTGACCCAGGGGAAGCCCTGGGCAAGGAGGAACCTGACTGGGAGGAAGGCCTGTGGCAACCAGGACTGCCAGCCGCTGAATACCTAGAGGACCTGGAGGGGCCTGGCTGTAGCCCGGGCCAGCGTGCGTCCGACACAGAGGGGGAGCTGGAGCTGCCAGCAGCGGAATACCCGGATGAGCTGGAGGGACCGGAGAGACCCGCTTGAGAGACTGGGTAGGAAGTAGCCCAAGGGCAGAACTGCACCGTGGGGTGGGTGTGTTTGGTCAGCGGGCATGGATGGCCCCCGCTGACCCAGCGGCGGGACCTTCGCCTCCCGCCACTGACCGGGCCCTGGGCTGGAACGCAGTGGAGTTGCGTGGGCCTGAGTTCCCTTACCCCAGCCAGCCTGTTTTGGGTAGCAGAGCTGTGCGCTACAAACCCATACTGGCGCTCCCCTGCCTGAGGGGCGTGCTGCAGACTTGTGCTGGCACACCACCTCCGCTAATTCCCCAGCACCCGAAAGGTGTGACTAAGGCCTGCCAGTGGGACCATAGCTCTCCATTGCCCCCTAGGGGCTCAGAGGACCAACTGAAAGCTGTCACAGTCGCGCATGTGGTAAATTGACATGCCATTGACTACAGAGGATTATGTGCACCGTATGGACTACCTACAGAAAGGGGGAAACTGTGGTGGGTAACTTCATATTTCTCTGGGGAAGATAAGGATATCACCAGGGATCTGGTTAATTTACTAGTGTCAGCCACACAAGAAGTACCCCCTTGGCTAAAGAACATGGCTAAAGGATAACTTTGGTTGAGCCCACCTTTGTGATAAGTTGGCTCTGAATAGAAGGAGCTCTCAGGGAGTGTGAACAATTAAAACCTCTCCAGAGAAAGATGTTTGAGAGGAACCCTGACTAACTGGGGCAATGAGATGGTTAAAAGCTCTCCAGGTAGAAAGGCCTGGGAGAGAAGTACCCTGAGGAAGTAGGGCAAAATTGATAGAAGGTGTGTCACAGAGCTACTTAAGGAAGGAGCCTGAAGTGGAAAATCTCTCCAGGCAGAGAGGCCTGGGAGGGAACCCTGACCAAAAGGGGTAGATATTATAAAAGCCTCTCCAGGTAGAAAGGCCTAAGGGAGAAGACTCTGATCCACTGGGGTACGAGACTGCCAAATCTCTCTGTACAGAGATGTGTGGCAGGGAAACTCTGAGAAGCTGGGGCAAAGACTACTACAGCTCCCTGGGTAAGAGAGGCCAGGGAGGGAGAGCCCTCACAAATGGGGGCATGTGCAAAGGAAACTCCCCAGATAGAAAGGTTGGAGAGAGTAAATATCCTGCTAAACTAGGGCAAAAGATTGGGTAAGCAGAGACATTACATGCAAGAGCACCACCTCAACCTTGTCTGAGGGCGGGAGGTGTGTGATGGGTGGACTAGGCCTTGAGACCCCCTGCTAGAGGCCTTGAGGCCCTGCCACACCTCGCCCCAGAAAAGGGCAGTAGAGAGGTCCTCCCACCTGCCTAAAGCGACTGTGTGGGAAGCAGCCAATCAGGGCCCAGTGCGTCAGTATAAGAAGAGCTGCAGGGCCCGAGTGAGTGCAGTTCCTTGTGAGATCTGGAGGAGAGTGAATGGTGTTTCAGGCTAGCTGCTGGGACTCCACAAGGACCAGTCCCTGAGGTAAGGGTGAAGAATATGTGGGAGCCACGGGGAAGTGGCCCGGGGAAGTACAGCAGCAGCACAACTTAGCAGCTGTTGCTGTATCCCTTTATCTATCTACAGGGTCCCTGGTCTGGGATCTGGAGTAGTGGGCGGGCCCGGATCCTCCCCAGTTAGTCACTAGGGGAAGCGTCCTGGACTTTGAGGCACCCCAGAAGGGGGACTGAACTGTAGTGGCCCAACTGAAGAGCTGGAGCCTGAGAGGGCGAAGACATTGCCTCCAGGGAAGGAGCCCTGGAGCACTCCTCTATTCCAGAGAAGGGACAAACTGAGAATTACAGAGGGCACTGAGAGAGGCCCCTGTTGGAATTGTACCCCAGAAGCAGTTTGCTTTGCTTTTAATACACAGACAGACGGTGGAGGGCTGAGTCAGCGAAGACTGCCACAAACAGGAAGAGAAAGAGTGCAGGCACACACACTCGGCCAGGGGGCGCTCATGAGAGGTGATTGTGACCCCCTTACAGGCTCGGCTAACCAGGTTTCAAATGCTGCCTCTCTTGTCAGAAGGCTATTGTCATCAGCGATGGCCACTCTAAGTGTATCTGTTGCTTGGGAGAGTCCCATATCTGCCAAAAATGTAACTTTTGCCTGGCTCTAAAATCTAGAGCTTGCAAAAAATCAGGAGACCAAACTGGAGATGCTGATGAGGAAGGATGCCCTTCAACACGCTTCTGAGTCAGATCAGGAGACATCGCCCCTTCCCCCCGTACATCTTTCTCCGGACAGATCCAATGCCCCTTTGACTTAGGCTAAGGTCACCTAAGAAGGGGAAGATCTCAGAGGACTCAGGAAAAGCTCAGAAGAGGAGGAGCTTGGGCTCCCGCCATGAGGAGCCAGCTCCCAAGAAGTCCTGATCTCCTGTAGATCTGTGGTGTTGGAGTGCTCAGCCTCTGAACTTGGTCCTCTGGAGGTGAAAGACTCTTCTACCAGTACTGGCAGAGCAGGGAGATCCCAGAGCATTCTGAAGAAACACGGAGCTGGCAGGGCCCCACTACCATCTACCTCCATATCAGCACCATTTATTTCAGACCTACCAATAGTGCCTTCCCACTCAGCTCCATCAGTAATGACAAAATCGAAGCACACACCTGTGCCCCTGGCTCCTTCTCACTTCAAACCAGCCGTTCCACCCAAGTCAACTGCTCCATCAGTACTAACCCACTCAGTACTGCAGGAATTCCATTACTCCAGGGACTTGACATGTCAGTGTTAGGTGAACCAGAGTCCTTACTGTTTATGGGTACTGAACAACTCTTGGTCCTGAGACCCCGGTCTGTGGATTACCAGTGCTTCCTAGTACTGCAGGATTCTCTTCCCTTTTCTATTGGAGGCCCCCTATTGGAGGACATTGAGGGAGGATGAAGGCGACTTTCAGCTAATCAGTGCGGGGCTTCCTTCCGCACCCATTACAGGATCCTTGGTTGGCGTATTGGTAACAGTTTGCTAGACATCTGTCTTTATTATACTAGGAGAATAGGGCCACACAAACCCCCCAAATGAGGAGAACTTTGAGGAACAGGAAGATAGGGTAGACTAAGAGGCTACCCCTCAAACCTCAATTTTGCCTTCATCTCACGACAAAGCAGTCATGCCTCCATCACCATCAGTGGCTAACTATTTTCTCCAGTTCTAGGACCTTGGGAAGAGAGTGGCTGACATCCTGCAGATACTTCTTGAGGAGGTTAGACTCGTATCACAAGATCCTGGACATTTTGCAGTTGGTAACACCCAGCAAGCACTCCTGGATCCAGCAAAGTCTGCGTGGCAAAGTCCTGCCACTATCCTGCCAACTTGTAAACATGCAGATAAAAAGTATGTGTGCCTGTTCTTCCCCAGGTAAAAGTTCCTAGGGTTGTTATGGAGATACTAAAGGATATGGATATAACCTTCCAATAAAGTAATTGACACAGGCAGTATTTTTTCCAAAACTAAGTATCTCAGGGATTTTGTGCTTTAGTTAGAATTTTTGAGACACAAATCCCTTATTGCAAGTTAAAGAGCACTTAGAATCACTTGAACTATATATGCTATTGTAGTTTAAGTGAAGCAATTTGTTGCAAGTGGCCAGTTTGCTACAAATTGCTGACAGCAGATCTTAAATTGCTTTAAAGTTTACATAAGTAAAATATAATTAAAACACACACACATTTCAAATGTGCACATACTACCTCTGTATATTATCCTATACTATACTTTTACTAAACTATAATTAAAAAGAATATTAAGCTTACTCTATAAATCTGTTGCTGTTTTCTTTTAAAAATCAAATCGCTGCTGTTCAGTTCCTGGTCAGTCTGCTTCACTCCACCTCTCTTTTTTTCTCTCTCTCTTCAGCAGTTTTTCTTTGGCTTCTATTGCTGGCTCCCCGGCTCTTCCCGCACACCTCTCTGCTTTTCAGATGCTGCCTCCAGACTCAAAAAACTGCCTGGCAGCTGGCTTTTTATGCTACATTGTAGCTCTTTCTTTATATACCTTCCTATTCTTAGAAACAATTAACTCACTCACACGTGCTCAGTCTTGACCATTACCTCAGAATTCCAATGGACAGCTCTGACCTTTTAAAGCTAGTTTTGACTGATATGAGTGGGTTCTGATCTGCTTAGCCAGCTGATGTTTGTCACCCCTTACTGCACATGCTCACCGTTGTCCTTTACCTCAGAGCTGTGATTCTACCAAGCCCTACACACACACATACTTAGCTCTTTGTCAGGCACCATTTTAGAAATCCTAAGTTTTCACTGATCATTCTCAAGATCTGCAGCATCCATCTCAGGGTGGAGTGATTTTTTTTGCTTATTCAGAATTGACATCAGAAATAGAAAGTAGAGACTGGAGAATTTTCTCTAGTAATAGGGCCAGGATCATTTGCTATACCAAGGACTTCCCTTTGACCTCTCTTTGGACTCATGGGTATTCTTGAAAGTTTTAGTGATAGTGGCTGCTTACCTTCAGTGAGACAAATTTAGTCTTCCAGTGTCTCAATGCCCAGCAAATCAAGGGCTGATCTTAGAAAGCAGTACTAACTTCCACCCAGACAGCTTTAGTTTTAGCTTTAGCAAAACTTTTGATACGGTCTCCCACAGTATTCTCGCCAGCAAGTTAAAGTATGGATTGGATGATTGGACTATAAGGTGGATAAAAAGTTGGCTAGATCGTCGGGCTCAACGGGTAGTGATCAACGGCTCGATGTCTAGTTGGCAGCCGGTATCAAATGGAGTGCCCCAGGGGTTGGTCCTGGGGCTGGTTTTGTTCACATCTTAATTAATGATCTGGATAATGGGATGGATTGCACCCTTAGCAAATTCACAGATTATACTAATCTGGGGAGAGAGGAGATACTCTGTAGGGTAGGGTAGGGTCCAAAGTGACCTAGACAAATTGGAGGATTGGGCCAAAGAAATCTGATGAGGTTCAACAAGGACAAGTGCAGAGTCCTGCACTTAGGACAGAAGAATCCCATGCACTGCTACAGGCTGGGGACTGACTGGCTAAGCAGCAGTTCTGCAGAAAAGGACCTGGGGATTACAGTGGACAAGAAGCTGGATATGAATCAACAGTGTGCCCTCGTTGTCAAGAAGGCTAATGGTATATTGGGCTGCATTAGTAGGAGCATTGCCAGCAGATGGAGGGAAGTGATTATTCCCCTATTTGGCACTGGTGAGGCCACATCTGGAGTATTGCATCCAGTTTTGGGCCCTCCACCACAGAAAGGATGTGGACAAATTGGAGACAGTCCAGTGGAGGGCAATGAAAATGATTAGGTGGCTGGGGCACATGACTTATGAGGAGAGGCTGAGGGAACTGGGCTTATTTAGTCTGCGGAAGAGAAGAGTAAGGGGGGATTTGATAGCAGCCTTCAACTACCTGAAGGGGGGTTCCAAAAAGAATGGAGCTAAGCTGTTCTCAGTGATGGCAGATGACAGAAAAAGAAGTAATGGTCTCAAGTTGCAGTGTGGGAGGTCTAGATTGGATATTAGGAAAAACTATTTCACTAGGAGGGTGGTGAAGCACTGAAATGGGTTACCTCGGGAGGTGGTGGAATCTCCATCCTTAGAGGTTTTTAAGGCCCAGCTTGACAAAACCCTGGCTGGGGTGATTTAGTTGGTATTGGCCCTGTTCCGAGTAGAGGGTTGGACTAGATGACCTCCTGACCTCTTCCAACCCTGATATTCTATGATTCTATGACAGTATACACTCTCTCTCTCTTATCTGGAAGGTAAGTCTCCAGCTAAACATACAGAAGTCTAAATTAGCCCCTCTACAGAGAATACAATTAATGAGGACATATTTGGATTCGTTGATAGCCAGGGCCTTCCATCCCAGAGACAGATTCATAACTTTGTCAAATCTGGTTGGGACTATTTAAGGAAGCCCCTGTACTGCAATAAGGAACTGTTTGCAGCTCCTGTGTCATATGGCAGCTTGCACCTTTGTGACTAAGCATGCAAGATTATGCCTCTGCTGCTTTCAGGGATGATTCAGGAGGAGCTAATCCTCAGCAGGAAACACGTTGGACAAACAGGTTATGCTGTCCCTCCAGCAAAGAACTCCCTGGCTTGGTGGAAAGATCAATGCAATGTCTGTGCTGGCACCCCTCTCATCCTCCCATCTCTAACAATAACTGATAATGGACATATCACTGTTAGAGTGGGGTGCATATCTCAACATACACTCAACTCAGGGCAGATGGTCACCTCAGGAAGCCAGTCTCCATATCAACTTGTTAAAACTCAGGCCATTCAGAGAATACCACTTTCTATCCCTCACCAAAGGCAAATTAATCAGAATCATGATAGACAATGTGGCTTGCATGTTTAATATCAACAAATAGGGAGGAGCAAGATCCACTTCCCCGTGTGCCAAAGCTATAAAGTTATGGAACTGATGTATAGCCCATCAGATTCAGATCTCAGCCATTTACCTTCCTGGAGTCCAGAGTATCACAGTTGATATGCTTATCAGCCACTTCTCCCAGGACTACAAATGAGAGTTGGACACTCAAATCCTTCATGGGTTATTGAAAAGGTGGGCATGTTTACCCACTATTTGGACCCAAAGCATCTGCAATACTGGCTTGCCTATAACCATAAACTGATTGTCCATTTACTCCGCCCAAATGGGTAATAAGGGGTGGCTTGCCCTAGAGGAGTTGCCAGGGTTTTACCAGGGGTTTGTCTCTAACCTACAGAGAATTCCCCAGAGCAGACTAATTCTGCTAACCCATGGAAGGACACGGATACAGGCCTCTGCTCAAAGGATTGACATTCAAGCAAGAATTCTTTGAAAGCAAAGTATCCTTTATTTAAAAGAAAAAATAAATTACAATACATTCAATGAAGCTAGAAAGAAAGCACTACAATCTATAAGACTACATAGAATGCAATTATTTTTCACCTAGAAATCTTAAGATGTCAGATTTCTATCTTAACCAGTATGTTAATCTACCAGTATTTTTTTCCTAAACTATATAAATCCCAGCAGGACTCCCTTCATATAGTAGATGTATGCTGGACATTTCGGAAATCACCTAGACTCTTCATCTCTATCTCAGATAGAACAAAGGGGTCCACAATCTCTTTTTCACAGAGACTGTCAAGATGGATTTCTGCATGTACTATAGCTTGCTGTGATGCAGCTGGTCCGTTGCCTCCCCAAAAGGATTATAGCACACTCTACCAGATCACATGCAGCTTCCACAGCATTACTCCGAAACTTTCCAGAGTCTGAGATATGCAGAACAGCTATATGGGCTTCAATGCGTTCCTTTTCTAAATACTATGCCTTGGCCCATGCTATCAGATCTGATGCGGCACTTGGTTCTGCTGCATTGCCTTCAGTCTTGGACTTGATTCCGAAGCTCCCTCCTCCCTGTGACGATACTACTTAGGAGTCACCTGATGTGAAGCACCTATAGGGAAGCTACTCGAAGAAGAAAAGATTACTCACCTTTTGCTGTAACTGGTTCCTCGAGATGTCCCCCTATGGATGCTCCACTACCCACCCTCCTTCATCTTTTCTTCATACTATTCTCATGAGGTATTCAGACAGAGAAGGAACTGAGGGTGGTTTGCCCACGCAGCCTTATTTACCCTCAGAAGTGTGGCATGAGGTTGTATAGAGCATATGTGCGGCCCGAACAGACACTAACGGAAAATCTCCAATCCGGGCTCAAGAGGCACATTCACACTTGAAGCGGAGCACCCATAGGGACACACATTTTGAAGAACCACAGTTACTACAGAAGATGAGTAATCTTTTCTTAAATAATCAATTTGTAAGCACCCTAGAGGATGATAGGGTTATAATGAATAGCCCCCATGAATTTGTCAAGAACTAATCATGCCAAAGTAACCTAATTTCCTTCTCTGACAGGGTCACTGGCCTAGTGAATGGGGCGGGGGGGGGGGGGGGAAGCGGTAGATGTGATATCTTGATTTTTAGCAAGGCTTTTCACAGTCCCACATGACATTCTCATAAGTAAACTAGGGAAGTGTGGCCTAAAAGAAATGACTATAAGGTGAGTGCACAACTGGTTGAAAGACCATACTCCAAAGAAAAGGAGTACTTTGGCACCTTAGAGACTAACAAATTTATTTGAGCATAGGCTTTCGTGAGCTACAGCTCACTTCATCGGATGCATGCTGTGGAAAATACAGTGGGGAGATTTATATACACAGAGAACATGAAACAATGGGTGTTACCATACACACTGTAACAAGAGTGATCAGGTAAGGTGAGCTATTACCAGCAGGCGAGCGGGGGCGGGGGAACCTTTTTTAGTGATAATCAAGGTGGGCCATTTCCAGCAGTTGACAAGAATGTGTGAGGAACAGAAAGGGTCGGGGGGTGGGGAGAAATAAACATGGGGAAATAGTTTTACTTTGTGTAATGACGCATCCATTTCCAGTCTTTATTCAAGCCTAAATTAAGCCCCAGCCCCAGGACCAATACCCCTCCACGCTCCCCAGTAAAGTCACTGGTCAGTTACAATCACCAGTATCCTCAACCAGTAAACAGACTCAGGCATAGACAGCGCCTCCCTAGTTGCTGGAATGTGGTTCCTCTGGCACGGAGGCCCAGCTCAGCCCATCGCCCTGGTCTCAGCGACGGGATTAGGTACTGGAACCTTCTGCGCTGTCCACTGCACTACAGTGGCAGCAAGGCCAATGGCCAGCACAGTAGCCATATTGGGGAGCATGGGGCGTTCTGGTTCTCCTTCAGATTCTTCCT